TTAACATCCTGATACCATTATCAGTGTTGCTGTAGTGCAGGGTTCCCGAAAACTACGACCATCTGGCGTTCTCCAACCTGCACTGACACAACATGGGCCCTTGGGCATTACACGCCTACGTCCCCACGCAAGCACTGCGGTCGCGATCGATTCCGTGGCCTTCGGGTTAGCCGGTGAACACCGCAGCCACTACACCACTGCGGTGTTATGAGGAAAAGAGGGTGAGAGGGCAAACGTAGCAGAAACATGCGCAGTGTCAATTTTTATGAAAGGGAACACGGGAGCACGTCACCTACGCGCTCCGGCGCCTGCTGGCAGCGCGCTCTCGTGAGAGCGAGAACAACCACACTCTCTTTTCGAGTCATCTTGCGGCGAACAAAACAATCATTCGTTGCTGATATAAAAGGAACAACAAGATTGCGACCCCCTCCCCCTTCTAGGCGATTACGCGAGAGCTGGGAATCGTTTGAATGGGCAGGGGTTGCAATCTTGCCGTTCTATACCAGCAGTGAATGGTTGTTTTGCTCGCCGCGAGATGACGCGATAAAAGAGTGTGGTTGCTCTTGCTCCCACTTGAGTGCGCTGCCAGCAGCCGCCAGAGCGCGAAGGCCACGCACGCGTTGCCGTGTTCTCTTTCATAAAAAATTGACGCTGTACAGATAGACTATATGCATGCCGAGAATGAGAAGTGATGGCGAGGGAAGTTATGTGGTGGACTTCGAGGGCTGTGATTTGGCGTATACACATGAGCAGACGTGTAGACTGAGCATTAACTGGAGATACCACACAGCCTGCCGTTTCTCTCCTTGAATGACGACAATTTCCGTGAACGCACATTGACTATACTACAGCGATTATGGGCTTGTTCATGACATCCTTGCGCGGGGTTCACCATACACTATGTGCGTGTTCATGTTAAATACTTGAGCGTCCAAAAGCTTTAATCACTGACGTTAGTCATCGAAATGAAGATGTACCTCTAGGATATAAGCTAATGAGAACTAACGAAAAAAACAACAACATTGAAATCCCTTTTCTTTAGGATCAATGTGCGTCCTCATCGAACGGTGCTAAAGCCGTCAAACACAGACAGACATGTCGCAAGTTCTCATTTATCAATGTACAGTGAAGATTGAACTAAACTCCTGCAAAGACACGCTACACTTTGGTGTTATCGCGGTTCCTATAACGGAAGGATAAATTATGTTTGTTAAGGTGAAAGACTTACCCCCGTATTCACAAATGCTCCTCGACTCGACTGTCTTCTTTGACTTGACATAGCTGAGCACTGCGCTACTCAACAATCACACCAGATTATTGTTGATAGCGGTGACTCGCCATGCCTAGAGACAGCACTCCCTAATATATATATATATATATATATATATATATATATATATATATATATATATATATATATATATATATATATATATATATATATATATATATAAGCCGGCGGTTTTTTCAACCATCAGAGGACAGGTTCGGCAAGCGCCTGTATATTTTTGTCGCTGTTCACGAGCGACATAGACTGCATGACGAACTTCTACTATGTCGATACCATGTCGCCCGCGAGGTAAGCGTCTTCCGTCATCACCAACCAGGGTTGTCGAAACAAAAACACCATCCTAACGCGGCGGTAGAGTCGATCTCGAGAGAAGGAACAAAGAACGGTTTCGCGTCCATCTTTCGGGTGGCAAATGCGATCACTTCGGGAACATTCAAGTCCAACGGTTCTTCGTCGTAAGGCCAGTCCGTAAGGCGAACATCGTCGTCCAGAGCTGCTTGCAATGTCATGGCTGGATTTCTCAGAAGAAAACTCTTATCGCTGCAGCCTTGAAACATTCTGACAACGTTGTGGAGAAGAGGGTCCGTGTTCGTGGCATGGTCCAAAACTATTTCCTAGATGAACTCCATCGTTTTCTTTTCGGCAATCTGCACAACAAGATCGTCCACAGAAACTTTCTTCCTGTTTGATGCATACGGTTGAGTGCGAACCCAGCCACTGCATGCGAACCTGTAAAAATTTGTGCAAGGTTTCAAAGTCAGGTTATTCAACGTGTGCAGTCGCCCACCTTCCTCCATGCAGTCTGCCGTGGTATAACGCACGGCAGACTGCATGGAGAGAATATATATATATATATATATATATATATATATATATATATATATATATATATATATATATATATATATATATACACCGTGTGCAGTCGCCGACCTTCCTCCACGCAGTCTGCCGTGGTACAATGCACGGCAGACTGCATGGAGAGAATATATATATATATATATATATATATATATATATATATCTATATACAGAGAGAGTGAAGAGAGTGAATAAATACGGGTGTTTGTCTCTCGGAAAAAGCCACTTTTTGTTTGCACAATACTTCGCTTACAGAGCGATCCTCAAGCTGCAAGAGCAGTGATTTTGGTATTGTAAAATGACTTATTGTTGCAAAAGATATTGCTTTTCTTTTTATTGTCCCATTCATATAGGCACCTTCTACGGTTTCCATACTTGGACGATGTTAATTTTTTTACGCGTGAAACGCTTTTTCCACAGAATACCATGCACACATGCTGCAAGCAAAGCTCCCCAGCTGGTCAGTTACAACAATGCGATCATTTTTCTTCTTCCGAACAATCGAACAGCACGTGGTCTGAGAAAGATGGTGCAAACCTGCGAAAACGGTGTTTATCGTTACCGAAGTTCACACATGCCACGTCGCGCCCATGAAGAGCAGATAGCACTGCTGTTCGCTGCGGTTGCCTTCGTTAAATTTGAAACGACGTCCGCGTGGCGTAAGTAGCCCACTTAGTTCAGATACTTACTTAACAGGGCAAGAAGAGCGTGTTTAAAGAGGGGTTCACAGTTAAAGGGAACACTTTCGTGCGCAGAATGTCTGGATTTCACTCTGTGGCAAAAAGACGGGGGCTTAGATTTGCATGAGACTACTGCTGGCTGACTGTTGTAAACTGGTGCCGAGCGTGAAAGATTTTCATACGTTTACTCGCAGTCATGAGACCCACATTATGATACGTTCTCATCCGAATGTTCCCTTTAAAATGGGTGGTACTGTACACATCTTGAACAACCATTTCTGTATTGCCAACATAAATCATGTAATGAAAACTTCAATTCAATAACCAGTGCACGTCTCTCATAATCATATTGTGGTTTTGGGACGTAAAACAACATATAGTATTATTATTATCAATTACGGACGTCTTCAAGAAACCACCATATCGGGGGTTTTTGGACGTAAAACAACAGATAATGTTACTATCATCAATTACGGACGTCTTCAAGAGGTCACCATATCGGGTGTTTTGGGACGTAAAACAACAGATAGTGTTACCATCATCAAAACGGACGTCTTCAAGAGACCACCATATCATGGTTTTTTCGGGACGTAAAACAACAGATGGTAAACAACAAAAAGAAGTGTTTGGTCCATACCGTGGGTCGTTCCCACCTCTGTTGTTGTTGTTGTTGTTGTTGTTGTTGTTTTTGTTGTTGTTGTTGTATGTCACCACCTCTACTTTATTATGATTCGGTCAATAGATGAAGTTGTTTGTATACGTCCTTGGGAATAATGTAACTAGGTGACGTTAGTGGTTTTCGAAGCATATCCATAGAGAGAATGATGATAAGTGGGTGACGCGTCCATCCATCCGTCCGTGCGTCTGTCCGATCGCCCGTCCGTCACTGCGTTCATCTGTCTGTTTGTGGTTCCGTGAGTCCGTCCATGCGTCTGTCCACCGTCCTTGCTTCCGTCCATTCTTCCGTGCTTATGTTGGTCCATCCGTCCATGTCTGCGTCCGTCCGTCCAGCTGTATGTCCGTCCACCTGTATGCCCGTCCGCGCTTCCGTTCATCTGTCCATCCGTCCGTCGGTCTGTTAATGCTTTCTTCCACCCATTCGTGCGTTCGTCCATTCATCCATTCATGCTTCCATACATTCAATCGTCCTTCCATGCGTCCGTTCACCCATCCATGATTTCATCAGACCAATTCGCCACGAGTACGTCCGTCCGTATATCCGTCTACGACGCATGGACGGGCGGATGGACGGATGGATGGAAGCACGGACAGACAGACGGACGCGTCACCCCAATCCTCATCATTCACTCCATAGATATGATGTGACTTTACATTCACTCCATAGATATGCTGTGACTTTCTTGTCTTCCTTATATTATTAGGTTGTTATCGACATCATCTGCGTCTTAATTGTACTGATTCTAATAACTTGCTTGTTGTATAAATGTTACGTCCGTAGAATACGTCCGTACAGTTGTTGCGAATTAAGGACGTTAATTAATTCATCTTGTCTGTATTGGGATGATTATATATCGCGTGTAAACCCTCTTTAAACTAGACGTTATTCCAACCTTTCTATTCACACCCATATTCTTGACTGGAGGTATTTCCCCCAAGGGTTGTTGAAAGCTGGAACAATTTACCCGGTTCTGTTCATAGATTGGCTCAGTCAAATTTCATATAAGCACTGCTGTGAAAATACTAACATTGTGGTTGTGGTCTTTTAAGTTATCGTTGAAAACTATTTGTTTTTTATAATAAGAAATATTCTGCATTTCTGCAATAAAGCTGCAAAGGGCTGCAGTGTAAGAAAGATCTTGATTAGTCCAGGGGTCAGAGCAGGTTATTGTGGTTCTGTGTGGGGCGTCTTGCGCGTTTGTGTTACTTTTAGTTCAGATATATGTACCGATCGACTTCGCCCAAACGCCCAAATGATCGTCTTGTGATCTGCATCCCTCGGCAGGAGAACGACACTGGGTAGGGGAGGCACGTTCTCCAAGTGCCACCTTTGGCTACACCTCTGCCCCACAATGAATAGCTAGATTTAAGTACAGCGACACAGACATACATATACTAAAATACATTTCAACCAATAATTATGACTATCAACCTCCCGCAAATTTTGCCTTGCGAATACTTTCGCTGGCGGCTGCATAGCTCCGACCTTCTTACAGCACGTTATCACCGCTCAAGGACGGGGCGACGCTGACGGTGACGTCCATGATGAGGTCGGCGCCATTGCAGAGGCGCTCGGCCGTGCTCATGTCCAACACCAGGCCACCTCCGCTCCTGTCGGTCTCGGTCTGCGAGTGCAGGTTCCGGGTCCTGGCTGACCACGAGAGCCGGTGTTCGGCGCCGCGCAGTTCGAACCGGTACAGGAAGCGTAGCGCCTCCTCGCTCAACCCGATGAGAAGCACGGCGCCGAAGAAGTGGTTCCTCGAGACCCTGTTGTTCCTCTTCCTGAGCATCACGACGAAGTCGCGGCCCAGGCATGTCTGCAGCGCCACCCAGCAGAAAGCCTCGACTCGCCGGAAGTTCGTCGCCGTCACGACCACGTTCTCGCCTGTATGTTAATTTGCGTGGAAAACGAGCACTTAGTTAAAGGGCGTGTCTACACAAAGTACACGTGTTTTTTACGTGCTTGTATAGTTATAAAGTTACGACAATATATAAATACCAAATTATTCTGCATGCCCGTCCGTTTAGAAGATCCGATTTTAATCCGATCGACTTCAAATGGGACTCGTTTTTCGTTTAGGCTTCTTTTGGCTGGGCTTAGTGTAATCTGGCTGGTTTTATTAGCTGGTAGATTGCTTAGTACACCGCTTAATCAGTTGAGTTATGGTCGGTTGGTTGATCAATTGTGACAAGTAAGCCCGCAACCTTTCTGAGAGAAGGCTGACAAACTGATGTCCCTTAAACAAGTCGGTTGCCCATTGAATGGTCTGTCTGGCAGTTTGACCAGCTGCAGACAAACGGTCAGTCGGCCAACCATTGAGTCGTTTGTTCGTTAGTACATCTATCGGTTCGATTGACATTGCGTCCATCCGAAATCGCGTCTGTTGGTTCTCAGCGACTTGGTTCGTCTGTTCGTTGGTCTGACAGACATGACCGACCCCGGACACTGCCCAGTCATTAAGTTAGCCGTGACCAACTTTTCAATTACGTACGCGTGAACGGTCTATACACTAGTCGTTTGTTAGTTGGGCGGTCTTCGCCGCTTTCGTAGCTCAAATTGTCGATGCTCCTATGACGCCTCTGACTGACCAACTGATCATTAGTCCACGGTTCGTTGTTCATCGGACTACTGGCACGTCTTTCCACCTATCAGATAGATTCATGGATTACCAAATGCTCTGTTGATTAGCTTGTCAGATCGTGTGAAGTTTACTTTCGGTCGGCTTAGGTGAGATTGTGTTGGATAGTTCGTAGGTTCCGTCCGACAACACTGGCCATGAACTCAGCCCATCAAGAAACGTTAGATAAAACGCATCGTGCCCAAGGTTAGTTAATACTGTCAAGCCAACGGCCACGCGTATTGAAGGACGGGACTGTACCATGCAAATTCTTTAACGTCTAGGGAAGAATGAATTACGCAAGGGCATCAAATCACATATTATTCGTCAGCTTCAGCGAGGCTCACTGCATACTTTCCAAAAATATAGTCGTATAAAAAAGTGAAACGTGCAAACATTGACACGAGAGAGTATCCCAAGAAAAGAAAACCGCCAGCGTCTGTTCCTGCTCTCAAGTTTTCCTGTGCTATTCGCCTGGTGCTCCTGCTAAATTCAATCAAATACCTCGGATTTATGCCGTCACTTCTACTCGCTTACATCGTCAAGAAGGTATACACTGTAAAGATATCCATGTCCATGTTAACAGATGGCAGACACGCTAAATTTCCGATAACTCTACGGATGTAAAAGAAAGTCCTCTCGAGAATGTCTTGTGAAGTAAATTTTGCACCTGTCTGTATATTCTGGAGTATCTCATTCACGCCACCCTGAACTAGATAGGAAACAGGCCGAAGAGTGAGCAAATTTGCAAAATAAATTCTATCCTACTCCTACTCAGCTACATATGAGGTTTTCGTAACACTACCCAGATCATGGTGTAAGAATAAATCGTGCAGCGTGGCCCATGCTTTAAAGATTGCTTCCCTTGGAGCCACTGAAACTGCGCTATTGTGAAATCATCAAGGGGAACGCGAAGTTTGCGAAGTCACATTTATCTTATCAGAACGTCACGTGCCAGTTTTTTTTATTTAGGCACAAGGGGAACCATTCCACGTCATTATCCATTCAACCCGAATAACCGCAACTTGTTTGTAGTGAAAAGCGCCGTGGTGGAGTACGAGTACTTCCAGCAGCTTGATCCATGACGTCACATGTAAGATACATAAACGTGAAGTATGCTTCGCAAACCAAAGAGGACTTCTTAAGTCGCATACAAAGAGGGTGCTCGAACAGCAGACCTCACAGAACCTATGCGAGAGCAATGACGGAAAACTCTGCGCAGCTACGACGTACAGGACCAATCCTGTCCTATCCGGAATGTGTGGGATGCTACTAGATGGCAAGGTCTTCCGTCCTCCATCTAAGTTTAAGACCTAGACTAACAACTAGCCAGATCTCTAAATAAATTTGTTTCACTCACTTACTTGCTCATACTACCTCTGCGCATCACTCTATATCGTCTTTGTTTATTTATGCGAATGAATTTCTTAGTCAGACTATGTCCGGCATCCGACGTCGTCCGTGGCAGGGTCCGCGCCCCGGCAGGTGTTGTCTCTCCGCTCTCACTCCCTTTCCCATAGCAACAGCTGCGGGCGCGCGTGCTTATCATCGACCCTAGCAACCAGAGCATGTGGTGGGAGAGAGTGTAGAAGAAGATAGGTGCAGTGCTTCTCTCGCTATTCGCTCTTCTCCTCCCTGCGCCCCACTCTTCCGTCCGCTTGCGCCTCACTCTAGACCATTCGCTCGCTCGGTGCCTCTCAAGACGATGGCAGAAGTCGGTGAGGGCGAATGTCTAACGCAACGGTACAATCTCTCGGCGCAAGAAATGCATTCGCATTTGCTCATCATTCCCTTCGGAGAGGTGGGGGTATTTTTCCTTACCCTGCAGCGCTTCGCAAGCATGGAGACCTGTAAAGCTTGCAAAAGCTGTCCGTCTCGTGAAATGCGGCGCGGTTGGTTTTCATAAATGAATACGAGCCAGGATTATCTGTTTGGCGCTGTAATTGTGCGTACAGTCTATGCGATACTCCACCTTGTAATTTCGGAACAAAGTCGTGCGTGCCGAGAATGTGTCCCACGAGCCTCTGCAGCGGTCCTCGCCACTTGCAAGACTTCCTGCCGAGTACGCAGCAACAGGGCCTGGATTCAAGCGTGCGAAAAGCAGTCACGTAGAGAGCACGTTACCGTGAGCACAGGCATTTCAAGGCTCTGCTGCCAGTCAAATACTGAACGCTTACGCGGAAACGCAAACAAGCGGTTTCAGCGGCACAATACGCGGTACAGCAGTGCGCAAGCGCTATACAAGACTTGTGCATTTGCGTAGCTTCACATGTGACTCGTAGCGATGGCGTAGTGGTTAGAGCATCCGCCTCGCATGCAAAAGGTCCGTGGCTCAAATCCCGGTGCCGAGCAGTTCCCAACCGGATAAAAAAAATCCGCGTGGTGATAAAACTGCATTACTGCATTTTTTTCTTTTTTTCTGTAATTTTCCTCTTTCCTCTCCTTCAGAGTTGAGATTGTATAAAGCTGAGCACCAATAAACTGTACCTTTAATCCTGATGAAGGCCAGACTCTAGGCCGAAACGTCGAAATAAACCACGTTGTGACCACTCACGGAGAATCTACTGGACTGTATGCAATGCTAGGGCCACTCAACCACCATGCATGCCTACACAAGACCGGCCAGAGGCGCACCTCCAGTCGAGCAAGTCTCACGGAAGTTCCTAAACATGCACCAACATCAGCCATCATCGGAAACTCGCAAACAAGGTATTTACATCGGCATTTCAACCGGCATGAGAAGACGACACCTGCAATCATTTCCATCCGCGGAGCCTCCATATTCGACATCGAGAAAGAGCTTGCCGGCATACCACCACGATCTGTGACCACGCTCGTTTTTCACGTCGGTACGAGCGAGCTGGCGTCGTACGGACTAGAGGAATCGCTACGCCGCCTTCGCCGCCTAGTGAACAAAACGCTTCGGACACGCCAGGAACTCGAGAGGCTCGTTGTTTCATGCGTGCTGCCCCGTTGCCTCAACCTACACCTGGAACGATCGAACGAACAATTCGTGCACCGCTTCAACCGGGACGCTCGTCAATTCAACGAGACAGTCAAGGCCTACTGCCGAAGACTCAGCAAGGTGTCATACATCGACAACCAATTCGAGCAGTTGCCACCAAGACGCTTTCTTGCTGGGTATGGGCTTCATTCGAGTTTTATAGGTGTCGCTTTGATTGCCGAAACCCTCAAGAGTGCACTCGGTCGCGGAGACTTCGAAGCTACCACGGGGTGGTCGACTCAACCAGCAGCTCCCGTCAATATCCGTTCAACACAACAAGACACCCACGACAAGAACTCTGCATATCAACATACTCCAGGAGCCCCACACCCACCCAACATCACAGACGAGTTTCCGACGATCGGCGAAACTGTGACTCCCGCGAGCCACAAGCACCCCCTCACCATCATCAACAGCGCACCACTACTAGGGGGGAAGTCTGCTGAACAGCCAACACGCGTCCCTCCATTGCGGATGTCGAGACCAAAAGCCCTACACGACAGCACCACTACACCACTCCTCAAAGGGAAGCCTGCCGAACTACGGAACCGCGTCCCTCTATTGCGGACCCCGAAACTGCCTACGATTACGTTCGCCGGGAGCGCAACGCCGATATCCTCCCTATAACGACGAAGGCCTGCCGGACATAACTACAACCTGTGCACCTCATCAGTGCTATCCCCACACCCAAAAAGAAGATTGACTTCTGAAATGTAAGTCCAGCTTATCGCTTCCCAGTTGCAGTGCCACTTTCCTTAAATACGAAAACGTGCTGACAAACGAATTAGACATGAAATGTATAAATCAACATTGCAAAAGTACCTTCGTGCTAGAATAGCCCCCAAGGGTACGACACTCTCCCTCACACCAGCCGCTACAAATCTAAATGAACACGACCAAATAACATGTAAAAATGTCCTCCTTGAGGCATCTATTAAATTAACAGAAATCGCTCTTAATCACAGGGATGAGCAGGTAAAGAAACTGGTCGCTATGGCCAACACCATTCTCCGCCACAACACTTTATCGAACGTAGAAATCACCCGATTAACAGAATTTGAACAGAACAAATACCCAGCCATCATGACCACAAAAATTCATAAACTCAAAAGAGACCATGTGCCCGAACCCGCGTTCCCTGACATGGTTCCTTACCACTACAACACCACCACCCAGGAAACCACTAGCGGTACAAACGAGCACCCATCTAGGAACACACCCTGTGACACTGTGGTTGTAAACCTATCGGACACGAGCTTGTCACCTGACAAAGAAAAACTGCTATCTAAGGGACTAAGCTTCTGCCCGACCACAAAGTTTTTCGATGAATTCCACTTGCTCCGAGACCTCGACAGCTTCGCTCGAAGCTGAAGGTTGCGCGAATATTTCTTGCACAGGCCTTCTAACCACGAAAAAATTCACCGTCGTAAATCAAATGATTGGACACCGAACAGTAATCGAGACAAGTGCTTGAACCTTTATATCACCGCAGTACAGAAAGATATAGTACACGAATACCACAGACAGAAAGGAAACCGAGAAAACTTGACAAAATCTAAAAAAATAAGTATGAGAAATGTGGCATCTAGGACAGACATAACAATAAAACCCGCTGACAAAGGAGGAGCAATTGTAGTCCTTAATACAACCAACTACTTACAAGAAGCATACCGCCAACTAGACGACTCAAGATTTTACGAACGCCTCCCAGGGGATCCGACAGACGAATACAAACGTATCGTATCAACAGAACTGAATAAACTGTTGGATGCAGAAAAGATAACCAACCCTGACCACAAACTGATTCGAGCAGCATACCCTTGTCCAGGTCGCTTCTACATCCTCCCAAAAATTCATAAACCCGGTAACCCAGGTCGACCAATCATATCAGACATCGGTACGGTAACTGAACCCATAACAGGGTACGTGGACAAACTAATAAGCCACATTCCATGCACCCTCGCGTCGTACATAAAAGACACCACACATTTTCTTCGAGACATTGCAGGTCTGTGTGTGCCGAAAAACTCGTACTTGGTTACTCTTGATGTCTCTTCATTGTATACAAATATTCCTCACGATGACGGCATAGCTGCATTACAATACATGTACACAAACCATAGACAATCTAACACCCCAGATTTCTCTGCCATCGCAACTTTGACGAGGATGGTCCTCGAATTAAATTCATTCGAGTTTAACCAAGAGTATTTTTGACAAATCAGCGGGACCGCTGTGGGCACCAAAATGGCACCCAATTATGCCAACATATTTATGGGAAAGCTAGAATCGGAATTTCTTGCACAAAGTTCCTTAAAATCACTGTTATACAGAAAATACATAGACGACATCATTCTTATTTGGACCCCCAGCGAGGACGAACTTCTCAGCTTTATCGACACTTACAATGCTGTACATCCGAACATACACTTCACACACACATACTCGCAAGTAACCGTAAATTTTCTTGATGTCATCATAACGATAGAAGAGGACAAGCTCTCTACAACTCTATATCGCAAACCAACGGATCGACAACAATACCTCCATTACCAAAGCGATCACCCGCGCCACTGTAAAAACAGTATTCCATACAGCCAGGCTCACCGGTTTAAGCAAATCTGCTCAAGAGACGCTGATTTTGACACGAGCTCACAGAGGCTAAAACTTATGCTCGAGAAACCAAAATACCGCCCACATGTAATTGATGACGCTGTTCAAAGAGCGAGAAAACTGAAGCGTGACGACTTACTTATGAAGCGACCACCGCAAGAAGACCCAAACGAACAAACCTCTGCTTGACTTACAGCACAATCTTCCCCAATGTAAACAAAGTCCTTAAACGACATTACAACATTCTGGAACAAAGTGAACGTCTGAAACGCGCATTCCGATCCGCTCCAGGCGTCGTTTACCGACGACCACGTAACCTCAAAGACACACTTGTCCACTCTCAAATTAACACATCACCCCCCCCCCCCAATAATTCATGCCGACCTTGTTTAAAGCCACGATGTCTTGTATGTAAGGCGATGCGAGAAACACACAAAGCAACCAGCACACAATCCAAGATTTTGATTAACATACGAGGAAACCTAACATGCCATTCCTCTATTGTGGTATACCTACTCGAATGCAACGTGTGTAGCATGCAGTACATCAGACAAACAGAAACACCATTTAGTATTCGCTTCAATAATCACAGAGCCCATGCGAAATCAGCCCCAAACGTACCCCTATGAAAACATGTTATTCTTCCCGACCATGCATTCGACAAACTCTCAGTAACGCTCTTGGAGACGGGATTTAAATCAAACCCAGAACGTCAACAACGAGAGTCATACCTTATCCACCAACTTAACACCCTCGATAGCGGAATAAATGAGAATCCTGGTACACTTGCAGAATTAAAGCATTAGAAAACAATAAAGACAATAATGAAAATAGTAACTTAGTTCACGGCACTGCAGCTGTGAAGGGCACTGGACAACTCAAAACAATTCCAAGTGTAGCTACTCTTCCTAAGTACAACTGTCGTCTGTTTTCTGTTTATTTTACTACCTAACCAATTGTTTCATGCATGACATGCCCAACAGCAACCCTGTGCACAGCCGGGAGGCCTTCACTACACGCGCAATCCAGAAGCGGGCAAGGAATTAGCATTGCGCCCGCTTACCAGCCTCTGCCGGAATACGCGGAACCCCTCTTTCTACAACGAAATGTTGATGGGGCGCCGATTAGTTAAAGGCTTAAGACTTCCTAAAAAGCCCGCTTACCAGCCTCTGCCGCGATACGCAGCACCCCTCTTTCTACGACGAAATGTTGACGGGGCGCCGAGTAGTTAAAGGCTTAAAACTTCCTAAAAAAGCTCTTTTTTGCCCCATAATGAACCGCCAGAGCCAGGAGGCGCCGTCTGGTCGGGAAGAATGCGTTACTTTAAGGAAGCATACACAGACCGCTGACATCAGAAAGGTGAAGGGGAGAAAAGGGAGAAGGAAGAGTGGAAGGGGGGCGCCAGGGGGGAGTCCACCTTGTATTCTTTCTTTCTTTTCTTTCTTTTTTCTCTTCTTTTACGTTTCTTCTTTTTTTCTGTCTTTTTTCCTCTTTCCCTCTGGTTTGAGATTGTATAAAGCTGAGCACCAACAAACTGTACTTTTAATCCTGATGAAGGCCAGACTCTAGGCCGAAACATTGAAATAAACCAGGTTGTGACCGCTCACGGAGGATCTACTGTACTATATATATATATATATATATATATATATATATATATATATATATATATATATATATATATATATATATATATATATATATATATATTACGGAGGGTTCCATAATTAACGACACGAAAATAGAATACAGATTGCATCTCATTCGGGTAAAAGTACGAGCTAGCCTCTAAAGTTGGGGTGGAGTGATATGCCACAGAGGTCATTCCTTAATATTTTTTGGTGAATGTCTGTGTACACCGAGTTACTTTGCGCACTGTACGGACTTGTCTTCATTACTTGTTAAGGCTTCGTTGTGCCACCAATCCTCCAGTCGTATTGTAGCTTTCGCAAATGAGTTTTATATATACTTGCGGAGCCTTCAAGGGGTTAGTGAGATCATAGAGGCTCAATATATCAGCAAATCCATAATATGACTATAAATCATATACGCTCTATACTCGAAACGGGTCCTCAGAATACCACGCGCGTAAAACAAACGCCATTATCTGCACCATACACATCGTGGTGTTTAGAAAATTCCGCTATACAGCAGGCGGTTTTTGGCAAAACTAACGCATACCAACGACTAGCCGTAATGAGGCGCCTAATATATATACTCGCAGCGGTGATATTGTGGTTAGTGCTCGACAGATGACCCGAAGTAGCCAAATCCGATCCCTGCCGTACCTAAACGTGCACCTAAATCTAAGCACATAAATCTAAATTTATCGTACACCTAAATATAAGCCTATAGGGACCTCTAGAATTAGGGTGTGTCTATTCTCCCGGCAACCGGGATGATTGTTCAAAAAAAATTTCTCCTGGTGATTACCTCCCATTGGCTTTCATATGTCACGTGACTAACTTCCGGGAGAATTTTTCTTGTATTATTCTCCCGGCCACCAGGAGAACTTGACCTTACCTAACCTAACGCACGCTAAGCCACATCTGTCCAGTCTGTCCCGCAGCAGTCAGTTTTTCCTCTCCCCCCCGGCAGTTAGTCACGTCACATAAGTAAGCCAATAGGAGGTGACTGCCGGGAGAAATTTATTTGAACAATTATCTTGGTTGCCGGGAGAATAGACACTGCGTTAGAATTACGCCGGCACCGAAATGTGGCCACTGGAGGCGGCATCGATTCCACAGCCTTTACGTCAGCATCCAAACACCTTGACTCCTGGGCCCCCGAGGCTGACCCCACCTCCTTGAGTTCGACGCTTTCCACCCATCCTCGCGTCCCTTAACTAGCTTAAGCAGTAATGTAGTATAAAGCATTACGGCTTTTTTTTTTCTCTTGTTGACTCACAGTGAAGCAGATTTCGAGACGGATTCTTCACCTCTGGTCCTCGCAGCGTCGTCCAGGAGACAAAGTTCTTCAAAGCAAGAAGGAGCTCGTCGAAAGCACGGCCGTTGGACACAAGGAGACGCTTCTTCTTCATTGCATTCTTCCTTGCGTTTTCTCGAAGTCTACGTTACCGTGGTTTTCGATGATAATAATGATGACAGACGTTAAGATAGAGGCAGGCATTCCTTACAAAAATTCTTATTGAAACAAAACGAAGCGAAGTTATTGAGCAATGACAACAGGCGGCATTGAAAATACATGACGGTTTAATTTATTTGCCGCTGAGGAAACTGCTGACCAAGATTGAAAATTGGCCGACGACTTTCAATTGAAAAGCCATCGATGAACTCACTATAGATAATATTGAAAAAATACTTCCTCAATGGTATTTCAATAGAAATAGTCAATGAGATTTCTATTGCGAATTGCTCAACAGGAATATTGTCGACAAAGTATTGAAGCAAGCAAATGAGTATTGCGGAACCATAGTCTGACAATGAAAAATCAACAATCATTTTTGTAAGGGATATCTGCCGCTTCTATGCGGAGGAAAACAATCATGTGCCGTCGATATGTCCTTGTTGTTGTAAAACGAAAGCCTCAGAGGTCTCACGAAACGCGGAAATCAACTATCGGTGTCGACGCCGTCAATACGAGTGATGCAAGAAATCATCATCACATGATGACTTCTCAGATAGGCAAAATTTCTGTAGTCCATGAGTTTCATTGGACCTGTATGCTGTAATCTCTTTGATGGCATCACAGAACATCGTCGCTTGGTTAAAGTTTGGCTGATCACAAAGGCACCGAAAAATCAGGGCAGGTATATAGAAAGATTGCAATTCCTCGAACTACGGTTTCTTACACCATGCTCCGAAACTATTGGCAGTGCAAGGCCACGGTAGGTGCAGATTACTTTCGGGTGGAGGCGGGAGAGGATAAACCCATTGGGTGCGAGAAGAAAAAGGTGGCCTGCTTTTTCGAGTGAGGCGAACGCATAAAAAACGTTCTGACAGTGATGTTAGAAGCCGCTGCAGTAATAGTGGTAAAGGTGGGTAAAGAGACTGTGCACCGTTTTTCACTGCTCTTTTTGTTTTCCCTCGCAATAAAAAGTGCAACTCCTGAAGCGTCCAACCTAGCAGCGGTTTCTCTGAAAACTGCGCAGAAATTTTAAAAACAATTTTTCTATCTGCGTTCGGTCTCCTTCAATCGCTCGGATGAATGCCCACAACACTGGTCGATGAATGCGATGACAGTTGTACTGTCGGTGAAAGTCGAAAGCTATACAACCGCGTGTGGTTTTTGTTGGCTTCATCAAGTTTTGATTATTATTAAAACAAATGCCTTGATGGTCGTTTAACGCATGCGCACACTTTATTGTTGTTCTTCTGGGCAGCAGCCCACGCCATGCTGGCGTTTCTCTGCCGTTTGCAGGCTGACATGCAGGCGAGCGAACATACCGCTACAGAGGCTAGAACGTTTCCTCTCTAATACCGCCAGCAGCAGCAGCCTCTGGCGCAACCTAAAACTGCCTCAAGCGCGTATACAATACAACTTAGTTATACATGTCTGTCATTAGACAAAATAGTCAACCTGCCGTGATTTCTTGTCCTACCCGTAGATTGGCCACATCCCTGTTGGGTGACGCTAGCGGTCATCCTTTGTAGGCTTTAACATCAGGTCAAAATTATAATTACTTTCTTATGGGACACACGCATGCTCGTTTCTGCCGATGTGAAGAATGGTCTGCTCATTTGCGCCACAATCAGAAAATTTTTTTGCGGGTGGTAGATAGTCCCTTTAGTGTTCTGTGGTTTTACTTGCCAATTAAACTCGCGATTTGGTTATATGTGACACAGAATATTGCAGGGCTGTGACCACCTCCATTGAAGGGCGCTCAGCCCGACCAATATCAATGCCCTCACATTCGGCTCAAAAGGCGAGAAACGTAGCCACCCAACCAAGAAGGTAAACCACCATCGAAATAGCTTTAATATTAGTAGTAGCAGCAGAATGTAGTAGTATTAACACACGCTCACAACTGTTGACAGGTGCATCACAAACACCACAGAACTCTTTTTACGCTTAGCAATTTGCTCTGCAGTTGTCGCCGCGAAAACCACGATATGGTTATGAGGCATGGTCTATCGTACAGGTCTCCAGAATAATCTTGAAGACCTCAGGTTATTTAATCTCCACCTTAAACCTAGTGGCTGGGTGCTCTATACCCATTCAAATGCGCCCATTCTGGCCGAGAATCCAACTCACGGCCACAAGCACAGTAGCACAACTCGTTAGCTGATAAATTACAGCAGCGAGTTGCAATGCGCTCTGAAGATCTCTATTCGAATAACGCTTTTACTACACCGGCGAAATGGATAATCACAATGCGATGCTTGTCCCTTCGCTGTAAACTTTAGCGGACGACAGAGTCGCAAAAAATGGCTGGCGTCTCTCTATCCCAGGATACCATGGACCCGAGGTGACAACTTGGCCTTCTTCACCAGACGTCGCCTGCCTTCAAGGCGTGAAGTTGTCAGTTGGGCCTCCACCCGCTTTCATGGTGTGTAGATGAAGACGCACATCCTAAACATCTGTTTCGCACCCAGCACAGCGATATGTGGCATTGCTGGGTTAAGTCCACACTTCCATACATATGATAGAGTGTATCCCTTGCAGATCAGCATGTGTAGTTGTTTTGGCAGCGTAAGTGTTTGTTAATAAATTGTATGCGGAGGTGGGCGAAGCCAAAAGCGCAGGTGCACTGGCGTCGCTCGCCCTCGCTTCCTTCGCGCAAACGTAAGCCAGCGGACATAGCTTGTATTAGCGCGGAACACATGAAAAAAGAGAAAAGACGACACACACATCAAGAAAAATAGGCGCTACAGTAATAACAATTGCCAGTGCTTCGCCCACTCGTCACAATTCACTCAGTGAAGATGCGTGCATTTTTTTCGCTTGTTTAAGTTAAAGCGATTCGACACGCACATTTAATAAACATACACATAGTGCACTGTATACCGTGCCAACGCTACAGTCGTTTCCAACGATATACGGTGCACGGCGTTATAGGCTAAACGAAGCTCTTGCATTGGTGCCTCGATCGCATTTTGCTTCTCGGAGGGCACGCAAAGGCGTCGCTGAAGTCTTCCTTGTGTTTAAGGGGCTCGTTGCACAGCGCCGCGCCGTGTTGCGCCCCGCACTGCATGTAGCACAGCATCACGTAGAACAGCTGGCGTCCCGAAAGAGGCACGTCGGGCAGCCTCTGTTCGTCGAAGGACGCCTCCGTCCTGAGCACCGCCAGCGCGACGTCTATTGCGGCGCCGGACGCCATGTGGAGGCCCACTCTTCGCTCCCATTCGGCGTCGGCCTCCCTCGGTCGCTGAAACAAAGTGCGACCCATAATGGGATTCGAGACTGATCGTGCCGTAAGCTTATCTTTACATCGCAAGAAAATGGAAGGGCGTTTGAAGCTTCGCCTTCAAGATTTGATAGAGATGACGTAATCTGGCCTGGTGCGAATCAGCTTCCGATGCTTCGATTCACGCCGCCCCGCCGCGGTGGTATATTGGCTAAGGTACTCGGCTGCTGACCCGCAGGTCGCGGGATCGAATCCCGGCTGTGGCGGCTGCATTTCCGATGGAAACGGAAATGTTGAAGGCCCGTGGGCTCAGATTTGGTTGCACGTTAAAGAACCCCAGGTGATCGACATTTCCGCAGCCCTCCGCTACGGCATCTCTCATAAACTAAGGTGGTTTTGGGACGTTAAACCCCACATATCAATATCGGTTCATGCCTAAACCATGCCGTTAGGGAACGAACGACTGTGCGCGTAACACTGGTGATTTCATAGTACCACTGAATGCCTTCTGCAAGCGCACTTAGGGGGCCATTGGGCAACATTTACTCCCGTTCCGAATCAGCAAAACGTGTCCGACGCGCGTCCGCAGGGCAACACGCGAATCCACGCAGCTGTTCACAATTGTTTATGGTTCTGCTGCCGGTTACAATTAAGTATGTCTGATCACTTTGTAATCGGCTGGGCCATCAAAACACTGAATCGTTGCCCAGTTCACATCTTTCGCCAGCCTGGCGCGAAGCGCTCGCGCCACGCTATACACGACGCGTTAAGGAGACTTATGCCGCTTAATAACATTCATATAGTGTTTCAATTCCCAAACCACTTCGAACAAACATTGTCGCTCTGATAGATTGCCTGTGTGCCAACGCTGACGCCCTGGGTTCGATTCCCACTCAAGCCCAGAAATTTTGGTTATTCACTTTCTTGGAATATTTTCTCGCTTACAACCAACGACGCCGACACTGAATACCGAACGCACCCGCTATGCGTCTGTAAGGTATTACGTGCACAATTCTGATCCTGCATGTGGCTGATGACGACTGACTTGTATAGCTAAGCACGTTGCAGTACGTGGGAAGCATAAAACCACACACTCGTTGCGTAATCAGCGTCACGTGATGAGTGGTTGTTATTGTACTCTTCTTCCTCGCTATACACCACAGATTGACGGCATTCCTTGCCCGATGTTGATTTATTTGATTGATCTGTGGGGTTTAACGTCCCAAAACCACCATACGATTGTGAGAGACGCCGTAGTAGTGGGCTCCGGACATTTCGACCATTTGGGTCCTTGCCCGATGCGACGCCTGTATGGAGTACTTTTGCCAATGAGATTGAAGCACCAGCATCGGTGTAGGTCGAAAACTACTAGTATGCAGGTAGCACGTGTTCGAATCCTATTTGATGCTGCGTATACTTTTGCGACTGCTTTTTCATGTCTGTGTCTGTCGATTAGTTTTTTTTTATGTCTATCGGTTACGCCACCGACCGGGACTGGCGTTTAAGGACTACGCTAAAAAATACCGGGTTCCCAACATAGGTAGCTGATATGCTATGCCTCTTCGTGTAACCTCAATTAAAGTCACGTCCAACTTCGTCTAATTTACTTAATCAAAATAAAAAACCACGTTTTGAAAAGGCAACTAACTCGTTATTAAGCCACTGTGGAGAAGGTACACCAGCATATAAATACCATGACCTAGGTTTCTGTAGCGCGTACTCCATACTTGCCC